CATCTAAAACGTTTAGAAAATATTGCAGGCTACACATTAATGTCTCTTCACTAGAAGGCAAAGAAGAAAGACAACTAAAGGATCATTTTAATTTTCGGCGAAGTTAAAATATTTTGAAGTGAATGCAACAAGCAAAATTGCACTCACGAAGAAGATAAAGGGGAGTCAAATTCCAGGAATGCTTCCCTCAGTTCATCTCAAAACCAGTTTTCTTTTCCGTCTTCTGCATAAGAATGTAAAGATTACAAAAGGAAAACTATAATTTGCTTGTGGTTTTGTATTGATATGAAGTATGATCTTTCCTGTTAGGTAAGAACAAAGATTCAAGATGTTTGAGAACAGAGTGTTGAGGATAACATTTTGACCTGTGAAGGTGGAAGTACTTATCAGGTAGCTGGAGAAAACAGCATAGGGAGGATATTTTTAATTTGAATATCCGGCTGTCTGGAAAATGCGAGCCTCGACGTCTCACAGCCCTATGGGCCTCCACGGCCTGTTATGAGGATAGTTTTACCTTTTATATAACCATCATAATTTGCTTTGGGAATCGTGAACAAATCTGAATTCAAGCAAAGAAGGGAGAATAATATTAAAATGGGTCTTGAGGAAATATAATGTGACCCTATCGACCGAACTGAGCTGCCTCGGGATATGAACTAGTGGCGAGCTCTTGTGAACATGATAAGAACTTCAAATCAAACTGGTTACCTGGGTGAAGATAGACGCCCACTGACTGACAGTATACCATAGACAGGAATCACTTCTCCTGCAATAAGGAAGCCAGTAAAGCACAAACACAATTCTGGGAAATTTTAATTGGTTAAAGACGAAGGCCACTTAGAAACAACTGGTTCCAAATCGATAATGAAACTTCTGTCAGTGCCGACAGCATGTTATTTCTGAGAAATCATATTTAGCAACTAATCAAAAAGAGAAAATATTGATACTAATAGGAACAGTTCCATTTCCCAAGCAGACTACTGCTAAGCATCATCATGAACCTAAGTCACGATATACCGGATTCAAGCATTAGATATCCCCTTCAAGATATTGATGTTTGAAAAAGGCAAAAGTGTAATTTTTATAAATATTTAATATGGATTATATTATACTTTTCTCCAAGTATAATTAAAATGATCAAGTCTAGGAGGATGAGATTAGCAGGGCACGTAGCACGAATGGTGGAGAAGAGGAATGCATACGGGATATTGGTTGGAAAGCAGGAAGGAAGGAGACCACTGGGAAGACCGAGGCGTAGGTGGGTGGGATAGGATGGGATGGTATTAATTGGATTGATCTGGCTCAAGATAGGGACCAGTGGAGGGCTCTTGTGAACACGGTAATGAACCTTCGCGTTCCATAAAATGCGGGGAAATTCTTGAGTAGCTGCAGAAGTGGC